GGGGTGAGGAGAAAGTTATTGCCTGCAATGGAGAGTGTGTGTTTGCTGGGAGTTCAAAGGGTAGGGAAAATTGGAAACAATTGGAAAAGTAGCAAAGAAAGAGAAAGAAAAGAGGAAAAAGAAAATCCAAAAGCACAGGATATGTAACCCCAATGCAACTAGCCCTCTTAGGAAACCCCTTGGTCCTTTTGCCCCCCCCCCCCCCCCCGCTTTGGCTGCAAGGAACTCAGTGCCAGCCAGTCAGCTCTCATCCTCACCTGCTCCCTCACTTCTCTGTAGTAATGCCACCCGATCTACTCTGAGGCCTGGTTTTCTGACTCCCTAGGCCTCTTCTGACCCATAGTAGCCTAGGAATTTAATTCTCATCTGGGCTGGGCTATCCTGTCTGAGGCCACCATCCCTTCTGGTCAGCAAACTGGGTTAGCCTGCTTTGCAAGATGGGAGCAGTGCGATATGAGGCAATGGCCTAATGTCCAGGTCAGTTATTTGGCTTGCCTTTGAGGCAATTCTTTGAGATTTTGTTGTCTATGGAAAGTTGTCCATAGGGTCGCGATGGGTCGGACACGACTTCACGACTAACAACAGCATGCTTCACTCAGTTTCTGCTGTCGGCTTAGCTGCAGAACGTCCTATCACGGTTTGCCTGGTTTGAGTTGTTTCCTCATGGATGCTGCAAGGAGCAAGGCAGGACACAGAAATGGATTCCATCGCAGTCATTGCAGGTCCTGGGGCCAGGGCACAGGTCAAGGACATGGAGGGCTTTTATCCCAGGGTTGGAGGGAAAGAGTCTTTTCTCTGGGGTGTCTGTGTGCCTATTTGGTCACTCTGCTGTAACAGGTGACACAGTTCATCTGGTGTCTGGAAAAGTACAGCTCAAAAACAGGTGAATTGAAGAAAAAGGCTTTTACATTGCTTCACTGAAGTTGGTTGTAGGCAGGAGCAGAAAGATCCATGTTAGTATGGAGAGAAGGCTGGGAAAGAAGGTGGAAAGTCTATGTCCTTTTTATACCTGGTCCCCACAAGCCTCTTTAGCATGGTCTCAAAAACAAAACAAAACAAAACAAAACAAAACAGATTGTTGAAATCAGTCCAGCCAATGTCAAAAATGCACACAAAAGAAACCTTTTGTTGAACGTGTGTATTTTCACAAACCTGGTACTTGCCTGGGCTAGAGAAAAATGTTCTTTCTGATGGAGTCTGGACAATAAGACATACTTTCACACAATTTCCTTTTTACAGAGATGGTATTCTCTCTCATACATAGATACAAAATGAACCAACCCATTGTGAATACATGCAAACCTGAACTAGCACATGTTTCAACCAAATGATCCGTGCTTGAGCATTTAGAGGAACATGAGTGCTTATGGTTCATGGAAAGAAAAACTCTGGGAGGAGGAGTTTTGACCCTTGGCCTTTCTAGTTGCCCACATCCTTGGGCTGGCAAATGGGCCCAGCCCCCAATAAACATTAGGCTAATGTAAGGGAAATTTTTAGCACCATCAATTATTTTTTTCCCCCTCTGATGTTGGTATAAAACACACCCTACATATTCCTTTCCTTGTGAATTTTGGGGCCTGAGCAGAAATATTGGGCAACATTGCATAAAAGGGGAACAAGCTTCTTGTTGAACCCAAAGGAAAAAGTAGCCTCATAGGGATTTCAGGGGAAAAAGAAATCCCCCCCCACTGTGTGCACACTCGCGTGCGCACACACACGCACAGAGTCCCAGAGTTTCATCCATTCCCTCCCAATCATTCAGTTGTGGCATAGCAATAACAAGATGGTTGTTATTCGGAGAAAGGAAGTTTTCAGAGAGGAAAACTCTTGATGGTTGACACAAACAATTGATGCATGCTCACAACATGGTTTTTAGGTTTCCCTTCCAAAATAAATAATAAAATAAAATTCCCTAGCCCCACATTGAGAGTGTTCAAGGGTTTTTTGTTTTAACCCAATTCCTTCCCCATGCAGCTACTGTATTCCCCTGAGGCAATACAAGCTTTGAAGACTCAAAGAATCTCTGAGACTGCCTAGTCTCAGTTTCACAACCCTTTTCTGTTTGTTTGTTTGCTTGTTTGTTTTAGACACCCCAAGATTTATTTTGAGAGTTTTCTAGATACTCCAGGATTTCTTTTTGAGAGCTAGTACAATCCTGCCTCCAACCTGTGGCCGGAAGCAGAGCCGCTCCAACTTCCCAAAGTACTTTGAACTCTGCACATGCTAAGAGGCTCTTGTGTGTACGCTGCTTTTGCAGCACTCACAAAGTGGTGGTATCTTCCTGCCAGAGCATCCCCACTTTTCTTGGCTCTATGGGATGGCCAATTCCCACAGAGTCAAGAAATCCATCATTTCCCACACACATTTCCTCGAATTCAGTTGGCCAGACCAAACCCCAGAGAAGAGGCTGCAGTTGCTACCTCTAAATAATGGGGAGATTTTAGCAAACAAGGTAGACCAACCTTCCCTCCTTTTCATTGGTTTTTCTTTTCTTTACCTAGAAGTTCCTGCAGCTGCATTCTTTACCCATTTCTTCCATTATTTCCCCATCCTGTACAAAGCACCCAATCACCATTTACCAAATCTCTTAAAACATACACCAAGCACCCCCTAAATCAAGGAATTCCTGCCAAATGCACACCGTACACACTCTCATCCCCACATGGCACACACACAACATTCAGCAAAACATTCTTAATTGCCTTTCAGTCTGGTGGGGCCAGAATCCTTTCCCCCGTTCCAGAGGCGAAGCTTCTTTCCACGTCAGTCCATTTCAGTTCCTTTTTGTCATTTTCTCTGCTGCCCCCTCACCAAGAGGCCACTCTGGGTGAATCAGTAGGCAGTCAATGGGAAGTCAACTCCCCCCGCACAGTCTGTACCCACTCTACAAATATGTGGTATGGGGGTGATAGCACTTCTGTGGACGTGGTAAGGCAGGCTGAGGTACAGCATGAGGTGTTCCTAAATGGTAAGATTTATTCTGGCAGCAAGCAGCACAGGAGAGAACTAGGCTCAAGTCTCCCCTCAGCCATTAAGCTCTCTGGGTAACTTTAGGCTGGTCACTGATTCAGCCTAGCCTACCTCACAGGGTTGTTTATGAGGATAAGTTGGGAAGGAAGATGGTTGTGTACGCTGCTTTGGCCTCCTTGAAGGAAAAAAGATGGGATATAAATGTGACTAAGAAATTAATCCAACTCTTGGGGCAATCCAGAAGCAGAGATAGCTTCCTTCCAAGCATTTCTTTCCCTCTTCAGTCATGCTCCAGAAGGAGTACCAAATAATTTCTTTTAACGTATCCGTCTAATTTATTTAAGAATTTTCTTAATCTTTTTTTCCAAAAATGCTTTTAGGTTGTACTTGGAATAAATGCCCATTGGTTCTTGCCTTTCTTTCCAATGAGAAGGACAGATGAAAATGTGAGGGTCTTTGTACCCCCTTCTTTTTATAGGATTCCCCCTCATCAGACCCTCACCAATGTGGCATTCCTGCTGTCAACTTCTCTCAAAATTTTAACTGTTTGTGTTATGAAAACCGTTAATATAACCCACAAAAGAAATTCTTTCTCAGACTTGAATAACATTTTAAAAAATACTTCAGAATTTTAATTATTTCCCCATAATGACCATGGGAAGAAATGGAACTGGTGTTTCATACATATCTGTATAGCATACTATTACTTAAAAGAACATCAAGGTCCCCCCAAACTACTTAAGGTTGCTACATCGTGTGCATTTAAATACTGAGACAAACATAGTTGTAACCAACATTAGTCTAATTTAAAACCCATTCATTTCCAGGGGCCTACACTGTGTAGGACTACCACTAATACTGCCCAAATTGTAAATCTCTTCAGAAGTCACATGGAAGCATTGGGGAGGAATGATGTATGTGGAATGATTTAATAAGTAAATATTATTCTCTGCCCTTCATTCTAACAGAAGACGTGAGAGAAAAGTTTCCTTGCCTGTGGGAAGGTTTTTTTTAACGAGCAAGCTAACCTGTGTGGCCACCACCAAGAAAACCACACAGCAGAGAGACCATTTGGGTGTCAGGACTGTGAGGAAAGGTTGAAACACAACGGAGACATTGTGACACATTGGTGCACCCAGAGAGGGACTGCAGCTGGCCCTAGAGGGGGCCGGGGTACTGGGGGCACGGGAAGGTGGCACAATCAAGTCACTGTCCCTGCTAATTAGAAGTCCCAGCACTTCTGCCCTGCTGGCCCTGGTTGTTCTATGGCATTATGAACAAATTGTCTTGATCTCAGTTGGCTTGTTAGAGCCATATCCAAAGGCAGGGCCATGTGCTTGGGTGAAGTCCATTGGAGTTTAAATTCCCATTCAGTCATTAAGTGGCCACCCTCTCTACCTAACTTGTCTTGCAGGCTGTCAAAGAGAAAATCTGGAAAATGCACCTCTGTCACCCCGAGCTGCTTTCAGCAGGAGTGAGACTGAAATATTTCCAAGAGTAAAGTGAGCTTCAACTTTACAGTAAAAATAATTTTACTTTGATGGTTTCGGTCTTCTACTATTTAAAGAGCTTAGGGCAGAATAAAGCATGAGCACAGTTTGATATTTCCTGGTTCCTGTAGCTCACATCCTGTGCACCGCTCCCCACCCGCTTTGGCTTTCATTACTAAAAGACAGCGCAGGGGCGCAGGGATGGTGGCCGAATTGCAGGGAAAACCGTATGAGGCCAGACTGAGGGACCTGGGCCTTTTCAGCCTGGAGGAGAGGAGACTCCGAGGGGATCTGTTGGCGACATATAAGTACATGAGGGGGTGTCACATGGAGGTGGGTAGAGACCTGTTTTCCCCTGCGGAGGAGGGCAGGATGTGCTTCAATGGAGTCAAGCTCAGGGAGCCATGGTTCAATTTGGATGCCAGGAAGTACTTCCTGACAGGATCACCAGGTTATGGAATGGGCTTCCCTGGGAGGTGGTTGAGGCCCCATCGGTGAGGGTGTTCAAGGATAGGCTGGACGTGCACATGGTGGGCATATCATGACAGTTGCTGGCTGGAGTCAGGGGTCAGACTAGATGGCCTGGGAGACCCCTTCTGACTTGCTCTGTTTGTATGTTTCTAAGACCTTGCTTGTAACTGTGGAGAATGAATTAAACTCCTGCCAAGTTTAGCATTTCTTGAGGAAGGCTGTAGTGTTTCCATGAGGAGAGCCCAGCAGTTTCATAGCTTTTAGGATGAGGTAGGCAAGCTGGGGACTGCGGTGTTTTGAACTACAGCTCCCATAAGCTCCAGTCACTGTCATCAGGCTTATGTGAATTATAGCCCAAAATACCTGGAGAGCCACAAGATGCCAACTTCTGGCCCTTGAGACAGACCATTTTTGCATTGATTTCAGTCCTTCAGGGATGCAGTATAAGTTCAGTTCCATCCCACACACGAAACCAAGGATAGATCGTTTCTCCAGAAAAAGAAGCTTGAACAAACGCATACAATGCAGACTTAGTCTCAACATTGAAAAATTCCACCAGCCCTTGGGTGTAATCTAGAAAGACACGAATATTCCGGGGTTTCTTGGAGAGTTGAAGACGTGTATGGTTTGGAGAGGTGAAAGCGAGGTAGTTTGCCTTCCCCCAGTACTCTCCCACAGCCCAGATGCCTTCATCGGTGCTGAAATTCGTTGGGCCCTTTCTCTTCACAGATTGCTTGGCGACCCCCACCGCCCATTCTCCCTCTCCCTTCACCTCAACCTCCCAGCAATGCTTCCCTGAGTTGTATCCCTTCTGGCCCAGCACCCAGACCCGCGTATCGAATCTCTTGGTGGTGTTGGGCAGGCTCTGCTCCACCTCGCCCCATCTTGCACTTTTCTTATCCTGAGGTATGACAATCCGTGGATGAGCAGTGTCTGGATCGAAAGTCACGTGTTCTGCGGGAGAAGAAGAAAAGGGTGGCTAGACTCCATCCTTAGTGGGGAGACCTATGCAGAGGCAGAATGCTGGGGTTCTGGCTTCTTCCAGGTGGGGATGACACCAGCCAGGGCAGCGGCAGGCATAGGCATGGTTGGTCCCTGCCAAGGTCCTCCCCCCACGAGCCCCTTGGACATGCTCCTTCTCTTTGCCGTGGCAGCGCATCTGTTCACCTGCCTCTCGCTCTGACCCGGCCCACAGTGGTAGTGAGGTGCAAAGGCTCACTGGCTCTCCTGGGCACGCCAAGGAAGCAGGTGGTGGCCATGCTTAAGATGGGGAGGAAGCCCAAAAGGTTCTGGAGATGAAGGCAGGGAGAAGGCATGCATGCTGGGGGCAGAGGCCAGCTGAAGGAGTCTTGCCTGGTTTCCAGCTGCTGCTGGATTCCAGCTCCATTTTGATATCTGCAAGTCAATATTTACTGCGTGTGCCCAATGTATAGAAGGCATATAAAACCATCTCCAAGAGGCCCCACAGACAGTTTGCAGTTTGCTTTCTTTGTCTTAGCTTGGATTTCACCCCAGCTTTGCTCTAAAGCAGAGTGGGGAACTTGTGGCCTCCTAGACATGGTTGGACTCCAACTTCTATCTGCCCCATCCAGCATGCTCAATGATCAGAGGTGAGAAGTGCTGTCCGGCAACACCTGGAGGGTCACAAGTCTTTGGCCTCCTGCTGGATCACATGGAGACATCTCCATCCTTGAAGGACACACAGAATAATTGTTTTGCTGAGACAGCTTTTCTTACTGCAGTTCTCCAGCAAAAAGATGCATTTCTTCCGGCATTCATTGACTTCACACCCACCAACAGTTCATGGATAACAATTGGGACATCCCAGATTAACACCCTAATTCTTGTTTCAAGCTGCTGCGGTGGAGGAGTGTTGAAGCTGTCCAAAAGAAAGGGTTTGAAATTACCTGTTGTACTGCCTGGGACCCATTCACAGGAATTGGGTGACTTCAGTGGGCAGGAATCGTCTTGCACATTTCCAATCTGGAAAACTGTCCAAGAAACCTCAGGTCAGTGTGGTGTATAGTTAGATAGGGTTCGGCCAACGATGGGCAAATTGTGACTCTCCGAATGTGAATGGAGTGCAACTCCCATCAGCCCCTTTACTATGCAGGCTACACCTCATGGAATTTGTAGTCCCCCAAATTATGGAGGGCCACAGTCTGGGCAGTCTGGAGATTACCGGTTTCCTTTTAGTACTGAAAATGATTGCTGCCACGACTTCTCCAAGAGCCAAATGAGAATTTTCCTTGCTCCCACAGGTGGGAGAGAGGAGGAATGAGTGAAAAGCTGACGTGACCATCTCTTATCATTAAAAAGAAGCAGGTGTAATCTCCAGTTGGCAATCTGAAACTTTTGATGTCACCATTTTGCTGGTGGATACAAGGCCTGCACCATTAATGGAATAATGGTCTCAAATTACAGGAAGGCAGGTTGCAGCTAGATACCAGGAAAAGTATTCGGAGTGTTAGGACATTATGAAAATGGAACCCATGACTTAGGGAGGCTGTGGGCTCCCCCACACTGGAGGCATTCAAGATGTAACTGGGCAGCCATATGAGAGGGATGGTTTAACTGGGAGTCCTGCACTGAGCAGGGGGTGGGACGCAACAGCCTTCTGGCCCCTTCCAGCTTTACATAAATATCAGCATTTGAAGCTCTTCTCTGGTATAGAGAGATAATGGTGGGGAAAGCTACCCAAGTCTTTTACACAGCACGTCAATTCATTCAAAATCATTACTCGTAGTATTTTTATGGCTATTCTACTAATTGTGCTCACAGTGGCATACAACACTAAAAACAGTAAAGGAAAAACAAAGTCATTTTTGAAACAGAAAATGCCATAATAAAAATTAACCTGATGCAAAAGTAAAGTAAGAATATGGTCTAGAGAAAGAATGTTTCTCTTGAAAACATTTCAAGAGTTGAAAAAATGAAAAACAAAGTGTCTCAACCGAGTAAGTCCAAAAAGAGGCCCCTTGGAGGGGGAAGGGGTCCATAAGAACAGGCCAATGAAGGCTGAATCAAGAATCATTAAGGCAGAAGAGTCCCAGCAGGTAAGCATATTTGAAACTTGAAGCTGCATGTGTACTGCTGGAAAACTTCTCTGGAAAAAATAACATTTTAAACCCCAATCCACAAAAATGAATAAATAAACAGGATTAGTCCCTTAGCCCTCCTTGCCCTCAGCTTAACATCTGGAAAATGTAACAGGTGAAACTTTTCCTGACATGAGAATAAATTAATTGGCAAAGCTGCCTCTACCAGATTTGCTAGATTTCATTCATAGAAGGCATGGGAGAAGAGGCAGGGAAATATGCAGCAATCCACAATATCTCAGAATACTGAAGCATCTTAGAATACAATAGAAACCTACCTATTAGAAGTGTGACTAGGGCCACATTCAGAGCAATGCTTCCTACCAGCACAATGGCCAGTGTGATTTTGCAGCATGTTGAACAAGAAGCTGTGGGATTTAAGATTCATCATGAAAGCACATCTGCTCTGAGTTTTTGAAAAGTACAAGCCGGACAAGCGAGAAGACACTGCTCTGTTCAGGCATCCAGACCGTCATGTCTTCTTTCAGGATGCCCCATTATGTTGACCTCTGGGATCTCGGTTGTCTCTCTTGCAACAAGCTAGAGCCCCTGCTTTGCACGCTATGAGCACAGAAGGAGCGACTGGACAGTGTGAGCCAAGATGCTTACTCTGTTACGACATCTGAACTGCACCTTTTATAAATAGGTGTGGGCAACCCTCAGGCCATAAGCTGCCCATGTGGGACCCCGGCACTGTTTCTTCTGCCCCCACATGCCCCCCCCCATAGCTCCCAGTGTCCTGCTCCTTCCTCTCTGTTGGGCTGGTGGGAGCCCGATGCAGCCAGGAAAAGGGGTGTGGGAAGGGCTGGGGTTGGCTCCTCTCTTGCGCTTTTGCCTGGAGAAGCCCTGCAATGGAGGTGAGGTTAAAGTGTTGTCCCCACTACAACTATCCTCAGCATTATTTCACTGGGGGGAGGCTTTATCCTCCCCACCCCCATCCCCGCAATAGCATGCATCGTCACCTCCTGAATGAACCTCATTCAACCAGGTTTTCAGTGGCTTGTAATTAATTCTATTCCTTGCACTGTTTTCTATCATGAGTGTCGTACTTGAAGCCGTTTCAAACAGTTGCTCCCTAAAGGTTGGGGACGCCTCTCTCACAAGCAGGAGCAAGAAAGGGGGGGGGGCAAGCAGAGGAATCAGCTGAGTGGTGCTGCCCCCAACAGGCACTGCCACCCTGTCGATTCTCCCCCCTTCTGCGTGTGTGCATGAGAGCAGCCCTTCTCAGGTGTGCACGCAGGTGAATTCACAGGTGAATTAGCTGGGTGCTGCTGCTCCTTTCCACAGCACCGCCCAGCACACGCCCCCCCCCACCATTCCTTTCTCCTGAATGTGTAGCAGCCCCCTTTGGAGCAAGTGTGAGGGGCCCGATCAGCCCCCTTGCCTTCTCTACTGTGCTGTAGAGCACGGGCCCCATTTATACGGCAGAGACTGTGTGCTGGCTGCGAAGAGCAGAACGGGGTGGGCAGTGGCAGCTGCCAAGTGAGGAGCCTCCCTCCTCCCTGGGGGAGCACCAGGGGGGCTGGAGAGGGAGGAGGGTGGCAGGAGGGAAAGGGTTCCCACCAGGAGCCTGATGGTCTGTCAAGCACGTCATGCAAACCGTGGTGACTCTGCAGGGCTGCTTGCCATGACATGCAGGCCCAGCTACTGAGTGTAAACAGTCTTCACTGGACTGTTGATGAGGTCCCCCTCCTTAGGGGTTGTTCTCTGGGTGTGTATTAGTGAGATGGCTTTTGTCCTCCTTGAAACTTCAAGCTCCCTTCGAGCCCGCTGTTAAGCTCAGTCTTCTGCAGGAGTGGTACCATTTTGGTTACATAAGGAGTCACACTTAGGACATTTTGCTCTTCATATAGAACAGGCACCTTTTGGTCATCCAGATGTTTTGGCCTACAACTCCACCCTCCCTCACTCATGGCTGCACTCGCTGGAGCTGATGGAAGTTGTAGGCCCAAACATCTGGAGAGCCACAAGTTATATACATTTGAAATATACAATATGAATAGGATGGAATCTGTTAATGGAGATATAATTCTTATTATTTCCATTTTGTTGCTAATATGATCATACTATTAATTGGTTTGTTTTTATCCTCTAGCTTTGACCAGCTCTTTGGGAGATTAGGGTTATTTATATATTTTAAAAGCTCTTCTATCCTGTCCCCTACAGAACGTCTCAGGGAGTTAGTAAACTGGTACTTGGATAAGCAGCTTCATCTCCTTTGAACACCTAAGCCAAGCAGAGTCCCTTCTTTCTTCTTCCAATAACTGAAGGAAGAGCAAGCCATCCTTGCAGGCACTTGCCTGATCCTACAGCGGTGGTTTCTCCCAGCTCTCCAAGAACCTTTCGCCCTGAACCAAGTGGCTTTTTGCAATACGAGCACAATCAGTCTCGGCTAGTGTGGTTTTATGTCCATTGTACTCAAGTGGGGTGGTTGTAGGTCCACCTGGAAAGATGGAAGATGGGATCTCACCTCAATCAGAACATTGGAAACACCCCCCCCCACCCCATGCTGATTCTCCCTTTTACATGGTCTGTCCAGCTGGCAATCCTGTTTCCCCATCATTGGCTGGTTTCTGGTCAGAAAGAAGGTGCCAGGTTGTGTTGAAAACATCTACACTTGAAAAAGGTGATCCCAAGTAGCAGAGCTGGGATAATTCACTACCAGAAGCTTTGAGAGCCACTGCTACTCTGAGGAGTAAGTGCTGGGCTGACTGAACAGCAATCTGGCTCCAGAATACGTCAATTTGGAATGTACTTCCCAGATAGGTACGCCTGGCGCCGAGCTTATACTCTTTTCGGCACCACGACAAAACTTTTTTATTTAAACGTCATTTTAAAATCAATAGCTTTTAATGTACAGTGGCTCTTGTTTTGTTTTGTGCTTATTTTGTGTTAATTGCTGTTTATTGTTTTATACATTATTACTGTTTTAATTCATTTATTGGAAGTTGCTGTTGTTTTAAATTGTTCTTTTAAAGTACAGTAAGCCGTCCTGAGATATTTATATAAAGGACGGCATATAAAAGCTTTTAATAAATAAATAAATTTCATTAATACACGATGTTTAGTTCCTACCCCATCCTCCCTTCAAAGGTCTTGATGGCTGCTTTGTAAACTCACAACACCCTATGAAATAGATGCATTTGAAAGAGAATGGCTGCCCAAGGTAAATTTCACATTCAACAAGGACTGGAATATGAGCTTTCCTGGTCTTAATCTAGGGGCAGGCAGATATTTAGATATTTTTGCCTACAACTCCCATCAATTGGTCAGCACTGCCAATAGCTAGGGATCATGGGAGTTTTGCCAAAACATCCTGAGGGCTACAAGTTGCCCACACCAGCTCTAATTCAACACATTTCACTGCTACATTGACTCTCCTAATAACCATGACACTTTCATTAGGAAACAAGCTATTTAAGCATCCATAAATAGCAATCTAAAAATGACCTTTTCAATCCATACCTTGTGTCTTTCGTGGAATAGGTGGCAAGTGGGTATTCCTTCTTTCTGGTTCTATTGACATATATCCTTCTGCGTCTTCCATTTTCTAGACCTTTCTTCAAGTTTACTTTCAGGTAAGGCTAATGAGAAGGCAGCTTTGTGAGAGAGAAGCCTCCTGAAAGGTAGACTTTCTGTCTTTGGAAAAGGAAGCTTAAATGTTTTTGAGACTCCTCAACCCACGCATTAAATTGGGCCATTTCAGCTCCTCCCACAATCCTACGTTAATGGGCCTTCCTGAGCTGATCCACTGAGCTAATCCAGTGCAGCCACACATGGCGTGTTGAGCAACGCATCCTTCCTCTTTTAAACTTGTGACCATTGCATGTACACTGCATTTTGTGTGTACACAGTGCAAAGTGCAGTGCTGGATAAACCAAAAAAAAAAAAAAGAACCCCAGAATCATTTCACACAGATCATCTCACAGAACCAAACCCAAAAAAGTCTGGGAGGTGTTTGGAAAAGTCAGATAAATCCTGGCAGAAAAGGGTCGCTTATGCGTCTTTGCGTTATAAAATGCCTGCACCCCTTTCTCAGGAAGCCCCCAAAAAATCCAAGCCAGGTTACTGTTTGGCATTGGCTGTTACTTTAAGAAGTGGGACTTGGTGGCTTCCCCAAGAAGCTGCCAGGGCTCTTGTTTTGCTGATCGGTAAGAACTGGTCAGGCTGCCAGGTTAACAGCATTGCAACCACCCTCGTTTGCATGCCAAGACTCACAATAATCCCGTGATCATTGTGTTAATCTCCTGCAATCCAATGCCATTGTACTGAGCCCCCTCTGCAGGCCTCTCACCTTCTGACTGTGTTCCCCTTATTTCCTCATCAACTGCCCAGCTGCTGGGCCCATGTGACTCAGAATCTGTAACACACTCTGTATATGTTCGAAGAGCCTGTAGTTGGTGGTGAGACCCACTACCAGGTAGCATCCTGTTGTATGTAACTGCAGGGGGCCTGGGAGATCTTTCAATAACACTGCTGGGTTCAAGGTGATTCAATAGCCTGCACAGAAATTGCACCTCTCTGTGTGGGCATCAGATCCCACGGTAAAAAAATATCCTGTCTTTCAAGTAGCTTCCCCCAGATTTCTGTGTGCAAGGCAGCTGGTTGTAATTGTTTCCAGATGTGGGAATATTCTCTGAATACCTGCCACAGATGAGGTCAGGAGAGGCTTTCCTGGGAAGGATGGTGTGCGTGAGGTTCCTTTTTGAGAAGGGCTTTCTCTTCTCTGTCTGCAACCGAGCTTGTGAAAGGGTTTCTCAAGGTGTGGAAACAGAGAAAGACTCAACTCTCTGTTCTTGCAGAGTACACAGACCCTTGACAATACGTTTGCCTATTCAAAGAGGGCCAGCAGGCTCTGTTGGGCTGAGATCAGAGACCTTGTACAGAATTATGGGATGTGACCCACAAGGTAAGGAACTTGGCTCTGCGTTTCAGAAGAGCCTGCCTGACTGGTCCTTTTGTCCATTTCACAAGAGCCTGGCTGTTCCTGGCAGTACATTTTCCCAGCACCATATATTTCCGCAATTCTGTTGATGTCCTCAGTCAGTTTTCACTCAAGCTAGATGAACAGGTAGGGTGAGCTGCATGCTCATCTCTTCCTCATACCTCTGTTAGTGAGGAACCTGGTGGCATGCAGCAAAAGGAGTATGGGAGAAAGACTGTCCCCTTTCGCCCACACACAGACACCTCGGCTCCCTGCAGGCACCAGGTTCGTATGCTAGGCATGGAAAACTGTCTCACTGACTTCAGAGGAAGCATTCTCCTACATTTAGCTGTAGCAGACATTCATCAGCCCTGCATGGATCATAGTTTATGCTGTGAGCATCAGGCTAAGGGTTTGGTTATTCAAGAGCCAAGAAAGTATTTTATTTATTTATTTAGGAAATTTCTATGCTGCCCCATTTGCCGAAGCCTCGGGGCGGCTCACAAACATAAATAAACTTCGTTAAAATAATATAAATTAACAGTATAAATTAAGTCGCCCTGGCCAAAGAATAAAATGAATAAATACTATTAACAGTTAAAATGACATTTGAATAAAAAGGTCTTTGCCTGGCGCCGAAAAACAAATAACGACGGCGCCAGGTGGACCTCTATTAAATACTTAATAATAATGAGAGTTGGATAGCAGAAATAGCCCCCTAACCATGCTTTTGGTGATAAATCAGAAAGTTATCCTGGAGGCTTTTTAGTGGCCACAGGTATGATACTATGAATTTTCTTCTCTCCTGTCAGGGCGGTCCAGTCACTAAGCTCGAACTCATTTCGCTTGGAATGTGGAAATGTTTTGCTGATTGATGACCCATCAAAGACTACACAGAGGAGAGAACTTTGGGACAGAAATGTTCTGTTGTTTGCTCAGACCTTATGATACTTCAGAGAGCCCACATAGGAAACACCATGTGAAGCCTGAGAAGTGCTTTGTTCAGAAATACCTTTTTATGAGGCACTGGAGAATTCTCACAAGAGAAAAATCGTGTGCATGCTTGGAATGTGGCCAGGAGTTTGGTTGGAAATCAGCGCTTTCCTAACACCAGAAAGCCAGTGTAGGAAGGATTTATACAGGTGCTCCAAGATGTTTCCTGTACTGAAGGAAAGGAAGCATATTTTAATATGTGCTGGCAAAAGCTTATTTCTATCTGAAAACGATTCTAAAGTTTAGATCCCAACCCATAGTAGAGGTGAGTGATGGCAATAGAAGAGTTGCAGGTACACATCAGGTAGAATAACTTCCTTTCACTCATAAGGAAGTTATTAACTTCCTTTCACTCCTTCCTAACTTCCTTTCACTCATTTCACTATTTTATGTGTATTATATTTATTAATAATCTCTTGCACTTCTTCTCCAGAATAAGAATGTTTAAGGGCTAGGGAAGCAATGGACAATTTCTGACTCTAGGGAAGAAATTTAATTGGCAGGAACATGTAGAGAAAGGAGATAAGGGCAGTGCTTTTTTTTTTGTCATAGAACGCACCGGAACAGAGTTTTTTTGACAGATTTTCCAAGTTTTAAAAGTAACTTTTGAAAATGTGTTGTTTGGTCCACAAAGATTTGAATCGCCCTGTCGAGCGTAGCAGGTCAGTGGCGAAATCATTAAAACGGTGCATGCAGGCTGCTTGTGTGTCGAATCCGATGAATGCATACTTTGTCTGTGCCGGTTGTGATGGTGCTGCTCGGCTTGTGACTGGTCCTGTGGTCGCGCGCTGAGTGCTTACTGTGGGCGGCGACCGTTATGTTTCATTACACAACTGACACGTGTGGGTGTGTGTACAGTGATTGACTACGTGTGAAAGGTAAATGATTTCATGAGTTCCGGCACCATTTTTCTTAAAAAAAAAAGCACTGAATAAGGGCATTCTACATAATCGTCCCTCAGTGACTCCACAGCCACCCTGGACACACGGTTTCCATCATGTACATTATCTAGTTAGTGGGCACCACCTTTAAGAAGGATCCAGATATAATGGGATTAGTTCAGAGAAGGACAACAATGCCATGCTGCCTCAGGTAGCGAAGACAGGATGCCCATGTGACCAGTTGCTAGGGAACATGTGTGGGAAGCTATTTTGGCACTTATATTCCTACTTTTCATGCCAGCCCTGTGAGGCAGACTGGGCTGAGAGAGTACGAGTGCCCAAGGAGCCTCAGTGGGCCGCATGGCTGGGTAGGGAGTCTGAGGTGGGCCTCCTTGTTTTTTATTTTTTATATGGCCCAATAGCCAAGGCTCTCTGGGCAGTTAACCAATGTTAACAACGCACAAACAAGAAAGAGAAAAAAAAATTATCCTAAGGCAATAAAACCACAACAATTGCCACCAAATCAGCACAGAGGTATAGCAGTGGTACAGGATAAAATGCAATGTTTAACGTTTTTATTTATTTTATTTATTTATTTTTCGATTTATATCCTGCCTTTTTCCTACAAAGGGCTCAAGGCAGCTTACATCATTCTCCTCCTCCATCTTATCCCCACAACAACAACCCTGTGAGGTAGGATGGGCTGAGAGTCTGTGACTGGCCCAAAGTCACCCAGTTGGCTCCATGGCTGAGCGGGGACTAGAACCCAGATCGTCTGAGTCCCAGTCCCGTGCTCTTAACCACTACACCACACTGGCTCTCACTGTTTAACTGTTAAAATACTGGGAAAATAAAAAGGTTCCCCCCTGGGGCCACAAACAATATAGAGTAGGTGCCAGTCACACCTCTTTGGTGAACTCATTCCATACCTGAGTGCCACAACCGGAAAGGTCCTTTTCCTGGTAGCCACCTTCCTTACTTCCTTTGGAGGGGGCTCCTGGAGGAGGACCCCCAAAGATGACCTTATTGTCCAGGTATTTATTTACTTATTTATTAGATTTGTTTAAAAGCTGTCTGTTACCCACTAACATATGTTACCCAGTAACATATGGGATGAGTTGTTCCTTCAGATAACCTGATCCCAAGCTGTTTAGGACTGAATGTTAATACTAGCACTTTGAATCAGGCCTGGACTTCAATATATTTATTGAATATATTTAAATTTATTTATGGTTATTATACAAGTGCTATGTTTTCACTGCCTTGGCATTTCTTTAAATTATAAGATGTATAGTGGTTAAAAAAAACCAAATGGATAAAAATGTGGAGGAAGTTAAACAGTCTCACACACCAGCAGTTGTGTAATCCAGCCAATTTCCTTTGCAAAAACTAGGCAGTGAAAGGATTAAAAAGTCTTTAGTCATGGTGAAGCTGCGTGTCTTAAGAGGGTTCCTTCCTCTCTCCCTATCCCTTTCCAGCAGACTCAAACAAAACCACAGAAGTAAAGTTCTTTTATTAAAACTCACCTGGTTATAGAATGGTATAAAACAGAGTAGTGTTTTCTTCGAGATGCAGAAGAAGCCATCCTGAGACACTTGTAGTGGATGGCCTATAAAAGCTTTTAATAAACAAACAAACAAATAAATAAATAAGAATCACCTGCCCATTTAAAAAGTTAAATCCAGATTGAATTGTCCCCTTCTTCCCTTCCTTTCTGTTAAGTTTCTGTCTCCACCCTCAGGATGGCTCCTATTGCTTGCAGGAATGATTGTTGGGAAAATTTGGATGAATCCTGTCTGAAAAGCATTACTCCTGTGTGCCTT